ATGCATATTCTTCTGCCTCTTATGGAATAATTTGTGCTTAATCTTAGTTATTCTTTTTACCATGTCAAATGCAAATGATAGCAACATTATATAGTTCAAAGGGTCTAGTCCAGATACTTCTTTTATTGTTATTCGAAAATGTTAAATTGAGTCTGCTAATATTAAAACATCGGTTCTGAGATATAAATCATGATAGTTCCCAAATGTTTTATGTTCTGCTTCCTTCTATACTTTCTATGCATAGTCATATTGCTTTTGACTAATGGTGTAAATTTTTTCATATTCACAATTATCAGTTTCTTTAAAATCCTCTTCTTTACATTTTCCATTATATTTTTTATCTTTTATTTTATGTTTATACTTTTTACACCCTTGGTCACAATAATTTAGCCCATCTAACACTGTGTTAAATTCCTTTCTTGATGGAAGCTCCATTCTAGAGAAGCACTCTGAATCATTCAATTCATATAGGTACTTACTTTTTTGTGTGAGTAATAGAAGCAAATGCTAGAGTATGCTTTGTACCATAATCAGAAAATATTTAGCCAATTGCTCTGAAGTTCTTTCTTGATCATGCAAATTACTTGCTACTTTTTCTAATAATGGGAACTAAAATTAACAGGAGTCTATAAATTTTATTTGGCCAATTACTATTGTCTTATAGTTCTTCTGATTGTCTGCAATTATTTCAATTTTGTTTTCACTAACTAGACCTAATTCCCGTATTTCATGATAAAAGTTATAATGCTTCCTACCATAATATATTAATAGGATTTTGATTTTATCTAGCTTTATTCGGAGCTTTAGATTACAACCATGATGTGCTGGACTATAATATTTTCTAGTGAAATAGTCATAATCTCTAACCCTGTTGTCATTTATATCAGCTCGAAGTTTTATTTTATATAAATAGCATTCAGATACTGTTTTGAATATATTTTCCTCTTCTATACTCAAGCCTTTTGTATGATATAAAGCTTTCATTAGGTTTTTTTCTATAGCTTTGTACTTGATTTTAACACAACTATAATATGCACTGCCTATGAATTTTCTAGTTAAATTGAAATATTTTACTTTATTATAACAGGTTTTATATAGTATTCCTTCACATATGTAGCATCTTATAGTAGAGTTATGTGTTTGCCAATCACACTCTGTCATTTTTATTTTTTCTAGATTGTGCAACTTTGGCTTGATAATTTCTTTCAAGTCATGTTGCATACTTTCCTATGACTCTGCAATTGAGTTCAGAGTTTGTCTAACAATTTCTTTTGCAAGCTTCCCATCTGTTTGGATCAATGCATAACTATAACTATTAGGCTTCTGCTTCTGTAGTTTAATAGTCTTTTCATTGATAATATTATTCTCTACTAGATCACTATCTGCTTTGAGATCTTTGACAAAATAAAATAGTATGTTTTCCATTGCCTTATAATTTTTGAATTTCATAATATGCTTAACTTTTTCTAGAAAGATTTTTCTTTGCCCTGCATTAGAATTATTTCATCTATGACAATTGTGCTCTATATATTCTTGAAGCAAATTCAATCTTAAGAATGAAGCTATCATACAATGATAGCAAAAGTATTTTCACCCATGAAACTTATTCCAAGTTCATATAATCTGATTCCAACCATTTTTACCATTAATAAGACAATAGTATGTATTTAATCCTAGAGGGATTTTATTAATATTTCGGCGATCTCTCAAATCTTCCTCTTCTTTGGTAAATAATATTAAATTCACCATATGTTCTCTTTGATAGTTATATTCTGATATGCAAAGTGGATTTATCTTTCTAGTTGCTTGCTCTTTGTTATTTTTGGGTGGTGCTAGATAGAAAATATTTATTAAATAAGATGGATTGTTTTCTTCGAACTTATCAATATCATGCAATATAGCAAGAAAATTTATACCGGAGAAGTCTAGTATGTTATTAAAGTGCTATAATCTATTAATATTATGAAGATTTCTTGCTCTTTAGCCCTGTCTATGGACCTCTTTGCTTGCTAGATAAGCTTTTATACATGCTTCAAAACATTGATCATCTGTATTTTGTGGATTAATTATTCCTAGTTGAGGCTTGGCCCATATTTTTGGCAAAGCGAAATAAGAACTACCTTGAAGTAGCTAGTATACACTTATTTCTAGAAAGATCTTTTTTCTATAATTATAAATCTAGCCTGAATGTTGATTACGTTTCATTTTATTAATTTTATCCAAAATTTCATTATATTGTTATAAGACTGTTTGGTCTATTTAATCCTGGCAAATAATATCCAAAATTTCACTTGGAAATGCTATATCTTGATCTATTTGATGTCCAAAATGTCCTTCTTGTACAATCTGATATATATGAGCAATAAGAACGATTTTTATTTTAATATCCTCTAATCGAGCTAATTCTCTTCTATAAATATTACTAATTTGGTTTTCAACATCCTTGAATATAGCTAAGGAATCTTCTCGATATAGATAAGTTTCTGAAATAATAGCAAGATGATCAATACATAAATCTTGGTCAGAAATTCTTCTAGTTTCTACTAACCTTTTCAGAGCTGGATCATCTATTCTTCAAAATATTATTTTGTCTTCTTTTTTAGATTTGGACTTGTTATCAGATTTAGATTCAGAATTTGATATATCTCTTTTATTGATGGTCTCATAGTTACTTTTTCCTTTTTCTTCCAACTCTGGCTCTTCTTTTGGTGCTAGTAGCTTGGAAGGTTCAGGTAACTTGGGTGGCTCCAGGTTTCCCCAGCTTGGCAAGATGTTTCTGAATAATCATTCTAATACGCTAGTGATACTACCAAGTAATCCACTTATGTTTTTCTCGAATATTATATAGTGTTAGAAAAAAGTTTAAAATAAAAATTATTTAATTTGGATAATTAGTGTTAGACATTTATTCAAAAAAGAAATTGTAGAAGGCAAAAAAAAAATGATACCTAGAATTTTTATAATTGTTCATATATTCTTAGAACTGGAGAAGTGTGCAATCGGAGATGCTATGATCCAAAGAGATGTAAAGTTCATCAGAATTCACCTAAACAATATCTATGTATAGAACCTGAATGTGATAAAAAAACTTTCTCTGGATATGGTGCTTATAAAAAACATTTAGGCAAGCATTGTTTTAAAGCATTTTATCAACGTCAGAAGCTTGCAAAAATTCAGGCTAGTAACTGAGAATGTTTTGATAGTTTTGAGGATGATCTGGGAATAAATTTGTTTGGAAAATAGTCTGAAGATGGATTTAGAACCCAATATGTATGTATTTATATTACTTGATTTTTTTATATTTTGCTTATAATTTGGTTACTAGTTGCTCGCACCTTTAGTACTTTGCAATATCGGTATTCATATTTGCTTTATAGTTTGGTTACCAGTTGCTTCACACCTTTGGTGCTTTGCAATATTAGTATTCATATTTGCTTTATAATTTGGTTACTAGTTGCTTTGCACCTTTGGTGCTTTACAATATCATAATCATTATTTGTTATCATGTTTTGCATTTATGATTTGCCTCATATAATAGCATATATTAAAAAAAGTAGCATATAGGTTGAAAAAATATAGCATTCGCCCTAAAAACTCCTGCTATATTTTTTCTCCCATTGAACTGTGCATTTGTCAGTGCTATACACCTCCTCATGCTTGTTCTTCCAGCAAGTGCTACTATTATAGTATACAAATTAGAAGGCTATGAGAGGACATATATTAATACTATAGAGAGGCAAATTGCTTATATTGAATGCAAAAATTTATATTATCCAGGATGTAAATCAAATAGGTTTTAGACTTGTTTGTGCTAAAGTGAAAATTTATTTTGACATATAGGAAGTAAGTGTTTACAGAGTGCATAACAATCAAGAAAGTAAATTGATTTCTTTAAAATTATATATATATATATATTTACAGTGAGTTTATAGTATATAATTTTTTTTGATATCCAGGATAACCTTCTGAACCTATTTAGATACAATGTGCCAAAAGGCCTATTTTTCTACTACTAGAGTTTTTGATATTTTTTCTAGTATAGCCAGACCTCATTCTTTCTAAATATAGCACCCCTTTAAATACATAATATAAGCCTGGGCTCATAGTAGAACTTATAGATAAATGCATATTCTTTATTCTATAAATATATACTAACTATCTGGCCTACTTATAAAAACTCTCTTTATAAATATATTTATATAATTACTAGCTAATCAAATTTATTATTTCAAGGTTACTAAAGTTATATTATCATATGCTAATAATAACATTGCGATTTTATTAGTGTTTTTTAATTGTAGCTTTTCCTAAATACATACTCTAAAGGTGGTTCTAGCAATATGCATTTAGAGTAATCTAACTGTATATATAATATAAAATAAACTTAGAGTAGAAACTTTTGCTATTTGTTATATTATATAATTTTTATTTTATATTGTTTAGCCTTGTCTGAGCCTAACTTGTTTTTTTCATTTTTTTCATTTATAGTTATTTTAGAGTTCTATATTTAGGTTTTTAATTTTTTCTCTTTATAGTTATCTTTTTTGTTAATCATTTCCTTTATTTTCTCTTTCTTGTAGTATTGTTTTATTTATTTTTTTTTTTTGTTCTTTATTGTTTTATTGTATAGAGAAACAGGCTTGTCAAAACCTTTTTCCAAAATCTAGATAAAGAAAATCCAAGTTTGGCTTTTGGCAAAGCTAATAATATTTTTTGTTTTATATATAATATAGTATAACAAGTTATATCTAGATACTCTTAAAACAACCGAATGATGCTAGATCTGACAATTTAGATAAGTAATATATAAAATATTATATATAAAACCAATTATCTAATTGTTTTTTTTTTTTTTAATGTTTAAGGTGAGATCTTGCTCTTATCTTTATTAAACTTAATGAAAGCATTTTACATAATTGAAAAAGGTTTTATATTTTAAGTCTAGTGCTAGAATAAGAACTCAGACATCTAAATCTAATAAAATAAGTCTAGATATTTATTTGTAGCCTAAACCTCAATTATCTAATTAGTTTTTTTTTTTTTTAATATTAAGGTGACCACTTAGGCCCCTGACACATAGCTTTATTCAGATAGTTACAATATTACATCAATTTCATGAGGATACAACTAGCTACACATGTACTTTTAGTATCTAATTTAAGTAGTCCACCTGGGTTCTACACTAGCCGCCATACTTGCAACCTAACTAGGAGATTACCTATTTAAGCT